AAAAAAAAAAAACATTGAAAAGCACCCTTAAATAAAATTTGAGGCGTTTACACGCATTATGGAAAGTGATACCATCAGAAATAAGGTTTAGAAAAAATGAAGAAACACTGCATTGCAACGAGCTGACATTGTAAACTAACTACTTTACTCTATCGGTTTGCTCACCTCAGCCGTTGATGGATCAACTGTAGGATTCTGAAAAAAATTAAAACGTACAATATCGATTTAGAACTTCCTTCAGTGTAAAACTGAAAAAATGATTTCTCATCAGGCTGCAAATAACGGCCGGTCGACGGACAATGTCCGGTCAAAATTGGGTACTGACCGGACAAATCCTTGGTTTGCCGGACATCTTGTCCGGTCCTTTACCGACTCGTTCAGAGAAATTTTAATTTTTAACTGTTTGCGAATCACAAGGGACAACGTCATGTTTCCAAGAAAAAAAAAACAAGATAAAAGTAGACAAATTAGTTGTCGAGAAATTCACGGCAGTCGCAAATTTCCGCGATGTCATCAAGTCCTGTCGCGACCGCAAATCATAGTGTCTTCCGTTATTTTATTTACTTTATTTAAGTGTTCCCAGTTAGTAGAGGGTTTTACCTTTGGCTAGATACCATCATTTACTCTTAAATAAAGTGATCGATTGTTTGACCGATTGAATGATCGGAAGGCACCCTCACGAATAATAATCTTGTTGCATCGAGAATACTCCAAGTGGCATTTGTTGCAAAGTGCAAAAAGCGAGCAAAAGGCCCAAAACCTGAAGAATCCGACCACTCTTTTACTCCAACAAAAATTCACAACTGTAACTTTAAAAAAAGGGCTCTGAGTATAATATTTAATTATAAGTGATTTTGCCAGATGTAAAGTAAAACGGACAATTGCGGTTGTATCTTGCGTAACCGTTCCACGTACTCAATGCGAGGCTGCTTCTGCAGTAAAGAGTAGTAAAATTGTTGCCTTGTAATTTTTATTGCCAGACCGACTTGGATTCAGTTGTTTTTTAGTTGTAAAAGGATTACTGTGCAATCTGGGTTCACCATCGCAAGAGTCCGGACTGTTAAAATCTGACCGGCCAAAAACGGGTAGTGTCCGAGCAAAAGCATGTTTCACCGGACAACGTGACCGGCGACTGCCCGTTAGTTATTTGCAGCCTTGCCCGTGACTTCCAAGAGCTTGCTAGGACCGAGGATTTTAGCACATGTTGCACCATTAAGCTGTTTGGATTCACGGCGCACTCGAGCGTAGCCAATCAAAAACCGGTAAGCTACATGATATACATGTAAACAAATCTGTTCCAACCAAGAATCGATCGAGAAGTTATAGACAGTTTCGAGAGCTCACTAAAACCGGAATCTAAATTAAATAATCAATTCGTCAATCTCTGTACACCTTAAGACTCACTTGCACAGCAGCATCGGGCCGCTTCTTTGTGATTTGCCAAATGAAGAGCACAGTCATGGTCAAGAATCCTAGGGCCACAAGTTCCAGGGCCAGTTTGAGCCGCGCTATCGTCTTCGCCTCCCTGCTTGAGCTGACATCAGGATAAGAGACAACACACTGCGATGCACCAGTCGCCGATGAATCGTCGCTCGAAACCGTCATCAAGCTCGCGTTGAGGTCGGTTCTTCGGACTTTCCTGCTGCTTCTGAAAGAATAATCATTGGCGTATTATCGTTTAGTTGGTCCATGTAACATCGTAACTATCGTGCCGACTTTCGTTTTAACTAAAAGGAAAAATCACTAGGAAACTTGAAACTTACTCAATATACGACTCCATTGTTTACTAATGAACTGGTAGACTCTACAACACAACCTTACAGTGAGTACAACATCAGCACAGCACAGCACAGATTTTGCGTCAAGCACGTACGAAAATTTGCATCACAATTCGTCACACGGTTCGAATTCAAGCGCATGCTTTGGAGTGTGACAGCGACAATGACTGTGACATAATCAAGTCAAACAAGAGCGGCGCTGAACAATGCCCGGAATGAAGGTTAAACGTGTGGTTTAAAAAAAAAAAACATATAGTACTTGGTTCAACAATGGCGATATCTTTGCTGGAGTAGGCGCTGGTGAATTTTCAAGGTGGATATGCTTTCTGTAATTTAAAGAGTATTTAGGGACTAACAGTAGAAAAAAAAAAGAGCTACACTAGCGAATTCGATGTAACATGAAAGGAAAGAGGAGCGTCACGTCCAAAGACCAAAAGGAAAAATTGTCCCTTCCTTCCTGTCAAAGAATCCCGCCGGGAGGGTTTAAAACACTATTATATGCAGTGTATGCAAATGTTATGCAAACCTTTTTTTTAATCTCGTTAATAATTGACAAACGCCATTTTAGAGATTGGTATAGTGAAACAGTTCGGTACTAACAGATACAAGCAAGATGAAGAAATAAAAAAAAGAAAAAACAGTGAGAGAATGGGAAAAATTCTCGAACAGAGGATAAGTACCGCAGATAGAATAAGGGCCCCGATACCCTTAGCTGAATGAAGGATCTTACGACTTGAGGATCATGGATTTTGATTCATGTTAAGAGTGAATGTGTAGGGAAAAATTTACGTACGATTTCGGCTCTTAATTTCATTCCTTGAGTGAATAGAATTTAAAACGTTTTCCCCTAGTTACGAAACGCCTGAATACTTAATTTTTTTTAACTGCAAAACAGCCGAAAGAGAGAGAGCAAGTTGTGCCGTTTGCCGTTTAAAAGCCTGGTTCCTAGCTCTCCATGTATTGTTATGTTTTTTTTTTTTTTTGCTTTGTTTTGTTTTGTTTTTTTTTTTTATTACGCTGATAAAGCGTACGAGTGCAACGAGCACACGGATGTACGTGCACGGGACAAATACAAACAGAATTTTCTGAAAGAAAAGCCTGCGAGCATATCCTCATTAGGGAGTTTAAGAAATGAAAACGGCGACGCCATGGACAACGTTAGTTAAGAAAAATTTACTTATACTTTTCCCACGAAACTCGCAGTTCTCTAAATTCATTTAGTTGGTTTCTCACCGACAAAGTTATCTCAAAACTGAATACGGAACACAGCATTAAACTAAATATAGAAATCTAAAAAATTAGCCGTCGTCGTTCACGTTTTCCAGAAAACGCAAACTTTGGTCATTTCACGTTCTCGTTTTGCAGAGGACGCAAATAAATTTACAAAGATATATAACGCATGTGCACGGCCAGTGCTCTGCTCATTAAAGGTTCCTTTTGCCGCTACCGTTGTGGTTTTCTAAACCCCCTAAAATTATTAACGCTGCAAGGCACACGTTCTACCCCTTGGAAGATTTGAGACCAGTCGGGGAGGGATTGTCGAGGGTCTGGTACCAATGATGAGCTGGACCCCGACCCTGGTAGGCCAACCGCGGACTCACGTTGTTCAAGGCCTCAAACTTATTAACGCGCGAAGAAACGCTGGTGCCGAAGTGAGACCCTCCTCGAGGGCTACTGAAAGAATTGAAGTTTTACATCTGGGAAAACACAAAGATTTCGACCTTCTCGATCCTTTTGTTCCGCTCCACAGAGAAACCGAAAATTTCAAGCTATATCTTCATGTAAGTGACCCTACTGTTACTTCTCTAGGTCTAACAGATTTCCTTTCAAACAAATTCTTTCGCCGAGTTCTTTCTTGAGATAAAAAAATGCGCATGAAAAGAATGAATTGCTAAAACATTTTAAAAAAAGGAATCTGAGGAGAATTTCAGGCCCCTTCCCAGCCGTCACCCTCTCTCCGCAAATCCTTAGGTCATTAGGCTTTCTATGACAAGACCCGAAACCGCACAACGCAGTTCGGTTTTTTTTAAATAAACAGGAAGTAGCGTCGCTGTAATTCTTGGTGATGGCAAGCAAGTATTTCATAGCATTGTTTGAAATAAATATCCAGCAACCCTGTCTCTGAGATTAATTAGCACCCAATGTTGGAGCCTTCCTCAAACGTCGCCCTAGTTTTCCCGCAAAGTTGCAACACTTTTCGTGCGAAGACAGCATTTACGCCTAGAGGTACTGAATCCGAAGCCATCGGGGATTGGAGTCTTTTCTGTTGATCAAACTTTCTTTTCTTGTGTTTATTAACACAAGACCGAAACGAAAATTGCAGCGAGATATATTCATCATACCTTTCAAGGTTCATTACTTACGTTTCAATGACAATTGAGTGTTCTCTATTCAACACCGATATATTTTGACATTTTCGACGCCAAACACAATTATAAATACAACAAATAAAGAAGATCTTCACATTAATAAATATCGAACGGCAAGTGGCCAATGTACATTCTTATACAGAGCAACTAAGATTTGGAACTCTTTAGACACTCTTTAAAATCCATTGTAAATATTACTACTTTTAAAAAGAAGCTCAAGTCTATCTTGATACAGAAATTTAATGATGAATGATAAAACTGAAAGTTGAAGTTGAAAGTTGATTGAAAGATGACCCTTTATATATATATATATATATATTTGCGAATTTTTCAGTTTTTGTAAATTGGTATTGAAAAGCCATTTATTGGGATGTCAATAAAGTTTGTGTTGTATTGTATTGTAAATAACAATGCTAAAACATTCTTAACATACAAGTCAGGCTCCGTTAGAATTATGCAACTCGTATCCTTCAAAAAGAAAATATTTGGTTTATTCACCGAAGTTACGCTTCAAAAAAATACATTTTCTAAAATGACGAGGTAATTCGGTCTATAGAAAGATTAAGCATGGTGAAAGCAATACTTTCTGATAGATAAAGACATTTTCTTCTCAAATTACCTGGTATCGTGGCTTTTACTGAACACGAAACAGTTGAAACAGATAGACAAAAATAATGAAGTTATAATCAAGTATATAAGGCGAACACAGATTCCAAGCTTCCAGCTGATGTTGTCGAAATCACCATGTCTTAGATATAAATGCGATTTAAGTTAGTTTGTAGAAAATAACAAAGAATTCCGGGAACTTATCGTTAAGTTTCCTGTGTAATTCGAGTCATAGCAACATCAATCAATACGAATGGAATAATTTCTCGTCGATCAATGTAACATGCACTGTTGATCCACTTTGTATAACGTTAAAGAGAAATCAGTAACCTTGGACAGCCCAATTTCCGAGACTCGACCACATCAACAGTATTTGCTTCAGTAAAGTCAAAACTGTGCTGAATTTATTTAAGCAGCCATAAATGGACTTGAAATGCTTTTTAAGAGTTTGAAACGGACAACACTGGCTTGAATAAGAATTTGTAATATTTACGAAATGAAAATCTTTCATTTAGTCTTCAAAAGATTCTATACCAATGATTGATCAAGTTGAACAAGCTCTTACAAGACAATGGAACGATCCTGGTTTTCTTTTGAATCAATCAAACTCGTTAAATCAACGACAAACTGACTTTTAAAATGAAAGCTCCCTGTATGCAAATTATCAATTTGATTATTTAAACACTTGCATCTTAAAAGGAGGACGGAGACAATTCTTTTAGATGATGATTAACAAGAACATACCTGTTTGATCACGCTACGTGGCTCTCACTGCACGGTCACGGCACGAGTTTGTCTACAGAAACACGCTAGAAAACCGTGTTTAACGCACAAAAGGTGGTTGGCATAAAGCAAAATTGCTCATCCATATTGGAGTTGATCTAAACCGCACGAGCCACGATGACGTCAATAAAATCCTCGTCACGAGATTTGTATGAATGGATTTTGTGCTAATTTTTCAACCGTGATCTACGCAAAGTAAATCTCTGATCGACGCTATATTTTCAGTATGTTCTGGTAATTCCACTAGAAATCCAAATTTCCTCAATTATCGCTTTGACAACTTTTACGAACTACGCTCAGGAACCACGCCTTTGGCGCCTCTAACGAACACCAATATCATCTTCCATGACAACGAAAAGACATTTTCTCAGAGTCACGGAATCCACTAGAATCGGCACATCACGTTATGAGGAGCACTGAAATTCTTACTTTTCGTCTGTTAACCTTTGTTTGGTGTGTCAATATATATAGTACATTAAGACATCAGTCTAAACCTCACTTTCTAAAAATCTCTTTAGTGATTTTCCTTACTATCTGCCATGCAATTCTTATCAGATTCGTTCGGAAAATTTGGGTTAACTAAAAATCCCCTACTCTTCATTTCATTTTATTCTCATCCTTTGTTTGCTTGCCATTGCACTGATATTGTAAGGAGAAATTGTCTTGGTTGTTCTGCGTAGAAAGTAAGGTCGACCAACTGTTCCACCACAAATCGTATAATATTGTCCAAGCTTTAATAATTATTCGATCTAAGAGGAATACATTTGTAATTCGAAATCAGAACAACGCAAATTAAGTCTTAATCTCGTAGCAAAATTCAAGAAAACGTGATTGGAAGCTTACTTCTGTGGCGGGTCGCCAAAACAGGTTTTTCTCTCCAGGTTAGCAAATCCGGGTAAGCGAACAAATTATAAAAAACCGACTTCTCTCTCTCTAATGATTCTTCTGAAGAACTGGTTTAAAACATCATAAGCTAACACTTTTAAATCATTGTACGGAATTAATGTCATCACGAGTCGTGTAACTGAAATATACCTGTCATCATCATAGGCAACGCCTATTTACTAAACGAAACATTGGTCACTAGTGGGAGCTAAAAGGGTAACGATGCAACGCGATTGATTTCCATCTTTTTGCCCTCATGATTGATCACAGGTTAAATTCTCCTCAATTATCCATGCACAATTCAAGATAGAGGTCACAAGAATTAAGAAATCGTGACGTGAACTAGCGGATATTGCCCGGTTTACCACTAGATTCTCAAGGCAGGACTAGAAACAGACGAATCTTGGTGTGGTTATCTTGTGAGAGAAGTAGCTTTCAGAACTGGACGGTCAGCGTTGACATTTTTTGTTCACTGCTTGGCTTTCTCGCTTTTCTTTTCAGCTTCTTTTCAGTTTAAGGTGATGCGAGCAATTTTCAGAAAAATTGGCTCATTAATGATGATTGAGTGACCCTAGGTCTCTTAAAAGATCATCTTCATAGAGTTTCAATATAAAGTGCACTGAAAGAAATGACGCAATACTAGAGTGAAACATAAAATACAAACAGTACATGTGTGAGCGTAAAAATTGATCCCTTAGTCTAACCATTTCAGTATGAATAATCCTAAAGGACTGTTGCATAGATGGTCGAGTGATTATTGTTACAACGACCTGAGGAAAATTCATCCTAAGAGTAAACTGATCAATCCCTCGCATTTCAGTCTCATTTGCTTTACAAGTTTCCCTCCATGCATTATTGTTTTTAGTAGTTGTTCCCTTTTTGTTTTATCTTTCTCTAATTCTGCCCTCGTTGAATTTAGAACCGACGAAGAAGGCCAAATATCTGGGACTGCACGAACCCTAAAAATAGATTTTGTCGGGCACTCATACCGGCGCAAACCTTCGAAAACATCGCCTTTCATAATGGTTTGGTGGGAATACTTTTAAAGTAAAACAAATATACTACAAGATGAAACTTCGCCGATTAATCGAAAAGCAGCTCATAGAACGTGTACAACATCCTTGTTGATCAATTACAAAAATATGTTTATGTAAATGTCTGGCCGCCAAGTTACACATAAAATCGCAACCGAGCCTTCAAGGTAGGCTTCGAATTTATATCGGCCTTTTTGATGCATGTAGACTTGCCTTAAATAACTCACCTTTATAAGGAAACC